ATGGAGGACCACCGGGTTGCCTCCTGTTGGTACTGGAAAAGAAAAGAGAGAATGGAAATTACAATGGAAGAGGGTACTGGTCAGTGCAGGATTAGACCATTGGCCGGTATGCGGGGCAATCGGCTCCCTGGTGGGCACATGTATGAGAGGCGCGAGCCATGTGTGAGGACGGCCGTGGGGTTTCAGGTGGCGCCACTGGACTAATCCACGTGATGTGATTATATTTCCACGTGATGTGATTATATGAAGATGTTTATGATTGTGAGTGCTGGTGATATGCCATTTGTGTGACTGGCTGCGTGAGCATATAACTAGTCGGGTGACTAGATTAATATGTGTACACATTTGTGTGACTGTGTGTGTTGTGCAATAATTATTACTCCTTAGAAAACTCACACGTCTTGTTTGATTTTTCAGGAAGTAAGTTTTTCTTTAATCCGGTTTAGACTATGTTTCTTCGGCGCAGAGCAATAGAGAAATTTTCCTAGTTCTATAATTATTTCACTATGTAATTATGTGTATAAAAAGCTATGTATACTAAAGAGTTTTAATCGTTTAGTTATTATAAATGTGATGCATGTGTAATTGGCGTCGCCGATCTGTGGAAATGTCTGTAACTGAGATAAATTTTGGAGGCCGAAATTAATAGAATCTTGAGATTTATTTTTCTATAAATATAGGCTGAATGTTTTTAAAATGTTTTAAATATTATATTGAAATCATATAGATATTAGTGATTTAGGCTTACTACGGGCCTCGGGGGCCTTAAGCTTACCTGGGCCCTAGTGCCGGTCTGGCCCATAGAGACGGGTCGTGACAAGTATGGTTCGGTTCCAGTTCAAAATGAACCAATGGCTATAGTTCTAAACACTTATTGGTATAAAATATATTTTCGAATTGGCTGCAACTAAAGTTATTTTAGAGTATTCTAAATTTCATTAAAGATGACACGAAAATTTCATTATTTTCCTTATTTCCTTATTGATATACAGTATAGATATTTATTAAGATGATACAATCTCACACCAAATTGGGGAGAAATAGCCCCATAGAGGTGGAGCAGCCACACAAGTAGAACCATTCCTTATCCCTGCCTTGCCAGTTGCCAGGGTACCCAATTCCTTACTTGAGTTTATCTATTCTTTTCCCTTTTCAATTTTCATTATAACGTTCTAGTTTTAATTATATTAAAATATTAAAATATAACATTCATTAAACCTACTTACTAATGATTAAGTCTAAGATGAATTGATTAATAATTGAATTGTCTCACTTTAACGATTAAAATTTCACTGTTAATTTATGAATATCAGCTTTTAACATAGCAGTCTTTTTTAAAAGAGAAAATAGATGAAAAAAACAGATACTGTAAATAAGATGTGATAGACTCTCATAATTAAAAGCGAGCACAATGGTAGAATACTCTAGCAAGTGGATGAACACCTATATTGGCATGCCTTCTGACCCAAATCATATTAACATCTTTCCTATCATTTAAAATAACCTTATGGTCTAAATCAAACCTAAAGCACAATTGTCTAAGATAGTTGCCTTAAGGGCAAAGCTTTTAAAAAGTGTTTAGTGTTTTGACTAAACTTAAAATACTAACTCTATTATTTATTTTGTAATGTTTACGTTAAGATTTAGTAAAATAGTTGACAGTTATTAAAACAATAAACTTTACTAAATAGGTGTAAATCATTCGGTAAATAAATTCCTCTTACTTTCTCAACTTTAACATTATTTCTTTTATTATTGAAAATATCATTATCAAATTTATAAATATCATTATCAAATATCATTATTGAAAAGTGATCTAAACTTCAAGTTGTTCTTCATTTGTCAAAAATGATAACAAGAAAAAAAAGAAGAAAAAAAAAGAAAAAGATGGAGAATATCACATCCATGACCCATGAAAAATATTAGATGAATTAATTTTTTTTATAAAAAAATACTTCTTGATGTCTTTTATAGTACATATTTTGATTAAAAAAATTTTTAAAAATGACTGAGGTCACATTTCAGATAAAAAAAAAAAAAATCTAACTAGAACAAAAGAAAGAAATAAAAGTAGAGCTGGGAAAGGGCAGACTGAGAAAAAGTTATATCAAGTTGTAGAAGTAAAGATTTGGGCCCACTTAAAAAAGGACTGGCCACTTATTTACACATGTTGAATGCAAACAAATATCAGAATATGATTGCATCCTGTTATGCAGGAATAGAATTTAAAGCTTTCATGAAAATGTCATGTCATGCCTAGAGAGGACCTTTCATTCATTTCTTGTAAAATTAGAGATAAAGAGGGGCCCATAATTCTTGTGCTCAACTTTTTGGTTGATTGTGTGGTAATGATGCTATTTTGTTCCACATTAAAAGAATCCAACAATTTTTTTTTTTTTTTGAAGGAATACAATTTATGATTTCTAGAGAGGGATCTTAAATTTTGAACTCCAAAGTTTATTTTCACCCATTGTCCCTCAACTTACATAGTATCACTTTATGGAATTTCATATTAAACTTGTCACTTGAAATTGTTTCAACTTTTATTTTTGTAATAATAAACTCCCTTGTTTCAATTTCCATCCAGAAAACATATCAGAAATTGATTAATACCAAATATTATTTTTAAAATACTCAAAACGATTTATATTTTGAAACAGAATGAGTATTTTTTTAACTTGCAATTAATATGTGTTTCATTTGGCTAAGATAAGAGGGGGTTTTGTGCTACATAAATTAAAGTTGAAACAATTTTAAATGGCAAAATTAAGATGAAAAACTATGAAGTGATACATCTATAAGTTAAGAAACGCTGGATGAAAATTAGTCTAAATTCCAATTAATAAAAATAAGTATTGGATTGAGTTTAAATTAAATTGAATCGAATCAATTTCAAATAATTTAAATTTAATATTTTAATTAATTTAATTCTGTTCAATCAAATTTTTGATAATAAAATTGAAATATGGTTGAATTGCCTATATGTTTCTTTAACTTAAAAAAATTGCATATATTATATTTTTTTATTTTGGTTAATTCAGTATTCCTGACTCAATTTTTAGATTATTTTGAAAATCTTGATTTATTTCGATTTGATTTGAATCAAATCCTCACCCCATTACTTATGAATAAGATAAAAGTAAAATTTTAAAATAAGAGCTATTCTAATTCTTAAAAAATTCTTAATATATACACAAATAATGATTGAAATTAAATAAAATAATAGAGATTCAATAAACAAAATGCATAAAGTATAGAGACTTTTGACATCGAAGGATGGCAACCCACTAGACCCAATCTCAATGTTGAAGCCATGCCATGGTATGGGGTGGGGTGAGGCAACATTCACCGGACCCAAAACATCATTTAGCATCACAGCTACATCCAAGGAACGAACTACCAAACAAGTCCCTTTTTCTTTTTCTTTTTTTTTTTTTTAAATACTTCATGAGTTGTCCAAATTCATTATTTAACCCACGGTGATTAACCATATGACCTAAATATTTCACGGGCAAAAGGACCTGCGGAAGGAGAAGAGAGAGTTTGCATTGCAGAGGATTGAATCTATAGTCTAGGTCATGGTGATTAATCCAATAAATACTCTTTACTATTAAACTGCTCCATTTAGATTTCCAAACACGTCCTTCTTGATAAATTCTAGGTCAATTCATGAAGTATTTTGAAAAAAATTATTATAATTTTTTTTGAATAGTTAGAAATATCATGATTTATATTAAAATAAATATTCTTAATTAATTTGATGTACGAGTGAATCTATACACCGCTTATAATAAGTATTCCTTTTCGTAGCTAGAGCCATGAGGATATTTTGATGCATTCAGTATCACTTTTGATGTGTTCAATTATTTTTTTCTGACCATCCAGAAGGTATATATAGCTGTTAAATTAAATTAGAAGGCTGTCAATCACCTTAAAAACAAATTAGAGGATTTGAACTCCCACCATCAGTCATCTTACTGTGGGATGATTAGAAACATTCACTGTTTTTTTTTTTTTATTTATTACCACTACATTAATTATAGGATTGACCAAGATCAAAATAAATATAAATTCTTCACCCAAAGAAATTTTAAATGGATGGAGATACTGGTAACTAAATTCTTAGCTATTGTTGAATGTTTGTTTTAATGAATTATTACAAACTAACGGTATTTGCATTTCTAACTACTGGTTTGGAGATATTCTAAAAAGAAAAAAAAAAAGAAAAGAAAAGAAAAAAAGATATTAGTTTGGAGATTAGATAAACCCAATAATTGTATGGGATGTTTCAGAATCTACTAATATTATGCAGCACACCAAAACATATTTTAGTGATAAGGGCATATTCGACTTAATAATAATTTCAAGTTTGATTCCTTTTCCCACAATTTAAAAAAAAAAAAAAATGTTGAAGTCTCGCACAAATTTCAAAAGATGGGTAATTAATAATAAAGGTCTCTCAGGAACACATAGAAATTGAAGTATAATTTTAATTGTCAGTATTAAGGTAACTAAAAATAAACTACATGTGGGTAAGGGTGAATAAACAGTCAATTCGGTTTAACTTGGATCAAACCATGATGGAAAATACAGAATCGAAAATTCCAGAAATGAAATTGAATTAAATCAGTTGGTTTGGGCGATTTTAATTAATTTTTGCTATATCGATTCAGTTTAAGTCTAAATCCATTAATTTCTATAAAATCGAGTCGAACGAAAAAGTAATTTTAGTTGAATTGAGTAAACCGATCAATCGAACTCTCTTGAGCAGACTGACCGAGTCGAATCAAAATGGATCGGTTCACTTCAGTTGATTCTCATACCCCTACAAATGCGAATGCTAACCATACATATTAAATCAATCAAAATGAATTAGTTTAAAATATGAATTGAAGTAATTTTCGTATTATGAAAATTGTTTACTAAACAAGTATAAAATTATAATTTAAAGCTCATAATATTAAGCTCTGTATCATTGACTTTTGACTTTTTGAATTTTTAAAATGATGGCTCTAGCAGACCCAGCAATGCACTCGCAGAACCACTATGGCTCTACCAGACCCAGCAATGCACTCACAGAGATCTTCCACCCCCGCATTATCTTCTCCTCGTTCGACTTCTTCCTTTCATTCTACTCCAAAAATCCCAAAAACTAAAATGGCAGTTTATAAATTGGAATCTGATACCATTTTCCTTCGCTGCTCTGATAAAGTCAGAATAGACATATACGAGCTAGCCGCTGCGACCGCCGCCGCATCCTCCTCTGTAATTAAAACGACAGACTGGAAGTACCTAACCACTGTCGGACCCGACCTCGAATACGACTCCGTTGAGATTTTCGGAGTCGAGATCAGTGGACTCGCATTCAACAATTTAGCAGCAGAACTCTGCAATTTTCGCTTAATCGTTAATCGCGAAGGCTACTGTTATTTCAACATAGGAGCGATCGTCGATCCATCATTTGGTGTAAACTATTACAGACTAAACGATCTGTTTTGCTGGTCTAAGTATGGAATCAAGCAGGAAATCACTTCGATTTGGAATCGCGGTGATATAATTTCAGGTGGTGAGCCTTTAATCAATTTTGAAACACAATACAGAACACTAAAAATTTTTGAACTAGAACTCGAATTATCCAAAGAAGAAATTGCTTCTTTGAAAATAGAACTAGAGAGTTGCCAAAACGGAAACTCCAGGGTTTTAGCACCACCACCACGGCAGCCACTTCCCCCGCCGCCACCGATTAGATTCCATGTCTTATCTTCTCCTCTTCCTTGCCAGTTTAACGTTAGTTGGATATTGAGGAAGTTCAATGTTGTGGATGAAGATGTAACAGGGCTGTTCCCAAGAACTGTGAGTGTTTATGTGAGTGATGGAGGATTTGATGGTGAGAATTGGAGATTTATGAGAGGAGAAGAGAACAACAGAACATATATGGTTGGATTTTATGGAGGAGAGTTGGGACAAGTTGAATTTTATGAGAATGTTGTTAATGTTCCATACAACAGAGGAGTGACTTTGCTTTCGGATGTCTACTTCTTTGTTGCTCTAATTGCTGGAATTGGTTTCAGGTTTGCTTTTTTGTATTAGCTTCTTTATTTTATTATTATTATTATTATTTTTTTTTTTTGAGATTTGAGATTTTTTGTTTTTCATTGTGATTTTGTTTTGGGATTTGAGTTTTTTTATTTTGCTGTTCTGAATTTTTTGTGTTCAAAGGATAAGTTGTTTAATTTTCAGACATGGATTAAACAAGTATATACTATATTGGAACAATGTTTTATTTAATATAAATATGTTGATTTTATTTTAAAAAGAATTACAAGCTTAACATAATTAAATTAGACTTTATTAATTCTACATTTTATATTAGTTGATTGATCTCATGCTGTTTGAGATATGAAAACTTAATTCACATCGTATTTTAGAAGAACGTTCAAGGCAAAAATAACGTATCCGATAAAATAAAACGATGTACAAAAAGAATTGAATCAGTTGGATAGATTAAAAAACTTAGTTTAATATAAAATAAAAAGAAAAGTTAAATGTTACTTCAAATCCGTCAACGGTCTAATTTTTTCAAATTAATGCTGAAATTATTATGATTTAGTGCAATTCAGTGTGCATGCAAGTTGTAAGTGGGAGGAAGAAGAAAATATGAGAGGTGTCCATTTCTGCTGTCACCCCCAAAAAGGGTATATGGTCTGGAGCAAAATATTACATCTACAGCCTAAAATTAATTGACTCATGTAAATTTTAATCCAGCCGAAAGGGATCTCATCTAGTTTTATTCCCTATCTCTATCTGCGAGCTAGATGATATTTGATGAATTAAGTATCACTTTCGATGAGTGCAATTATTTTTCCAGATCTACATATATAATCTGCGAGCTAGCATGATATTTTGATGAATTAAGTATCACTTTACGCATGAGTGCAATTATTTTTTCCAGATTCTACATAATATCATATATACTATATATATATATATATTATATATATTTATAAATAATGTATAATTATATTTTTTATTTAAAAGTTAATATACTATTTTAATCTAATGTTCGAAAATAATGTATAATGTATATTTTTTATTTTAAAAGTTAATATACTATTTTTTAATCTAATGTATTATACAACTAAAAAATAGTAATCAAATTTTTTAAAATAATATTTAATAAAAATTATTATTTTTAAATAACTATAAAATAATCATAAAAAATATTAATTGAAAATTTTATTACTAATTATTTTTATAAGGATAATAGAGTCAATGATAAAATAATATTTAAATAAGCTAACAACTATATCTATGGTGTCATACGATGGTAGGTATAAGGACAAATACAATAGGCCATGAGGTGCGAGATATAGTGTATTGAATGGCAGATTGTCGAAGGACTTGCTACGGGGAGGCTTGATGCAATGCTCTTCACTATCCCTGGGCCAGTATGCAGGACGAGCTTTACGTGAGTTAGGTTACAAGCATCACACGTTAGTGAGAGGAGATGATGTTTCTATAGAGAATTAACTCTATGGACCTTATAGGCAATAGCCTAAAGTGTGTATCTTGCTATAGGTGAAAGTTTCGATATAGGTAATACTATACAGCCTGCAAATTCTCCGAAGGCCAGTCTCGGATGTGCTGGACCATTATGTATATGACTTGTTAAGCCTTTATAATCAGATTTTATGCTAATACCTTCCGAGGATGCATAGTTGACCTAAATTATTAGCATAGTCTAGGTACCATATGGGCATTAAAAGCTTGTACCGAATGTCCTAAGCTCTGTCTCGTTGTCCTTGACTTTTAAAATTTTCAAATGCAAATTGCAGAACCGGTATAACTTTACCATTAATGCACTCGCCAAGATCTTCCACCACCGCGCTCTTCTCCGATTCAACTGCTTCCTCTCATTCTTCTCCAAAATTCTCAACAACTAAAATGGCAGTTTATAAATTGGCTCCAATACCATTTTCCTTCGTTGCTCCGATGGGGTCAGAGTAGACACGTTTGAACTAGCCGACCCCGCCGCATCCTCCTCTGTAATTAAGCCGACAGACTGGCAGTACTTGGCCACTATCGGACCTGACCTTGAATACGCCGCCGTTGAGATCTTTGGAGTTGAGATCAGTGGACTCGCATTCAACAATTTAGCAGCAGAACTCCGCAGTTTTCGCTTAATCGTTAATCGCGAAGGCTACTGTTATCTCAACACAGCAGCAATCATCGATCCATCCTTTGGTGTAAACTATTACAGATTAAACGATCTGTTTTGCTGGTCTAAATATGGAATCAAACCGGAAATCACTTCGATTTGGAATTGCGGTGACATAATTTCAGGAGGCGAGTCTTTAATCAACTTCGAAATACTAAATAAAACTCTAAAACTCTTTGAAGAAGAACTTGAATTATCCAAAGAAGAAATTGCTTCTTTGCAGATAGAACTAGAGAAGTGCCAAATCAGAAGATCCGGCGTTTCATCACCGACATCACTGCCTCCGCGGCCAATTCAACCGCCGCCACCGATTAGATTCCATGTCTTACCTTCTCCTCTCCCCAACCAGTATAATATTAGCTGGATATTGAGAAATTTCAATGTTGTGGATGAAGATGTAACAGGGCTTTTTCCAAGAAATGTGAGTGTTTATGTGAGTGATGGAGGATTTGATTGTGAGAATTGGAGATTCATGAGAGGAGAAGAGAACAACAGAACATATATGGTTGGGTTTTATGGAGGAGAGTTTGGACAAGTTGAATTTCATAATAATATTGTTAATGTTCCATACAACAGAGGACTGACTTTGCTTTCTGATGTTTACTTCTTTGTGGCTCTAATTGCCGGGATTGGTTTCAGGTTTGCTTTTTTGTATTAATTTTTTTTTCATTTTTATTTTGAAATTATAAGATTTCTTGTTTTTGTTTTGGGAATTGATCTTTTTCTTTTGGTATTTTGATTTTGGTATTCAAAGGTGCTTATTTAATTTTGAGAAGAAGGCTTAAAAAGCATGGACTAATTTTTATTTAGTATAATTTGATTAAATATAGTTTTATGGAATTGCTTGCAATCTAAATTTGTTTATTTTCTATAAATGAAAATGTTGATTTTATATTTTGATAATTAAAAATAAAAATTCAACATTTTTTAGTTAAACTTTACTAATTCTGTACGAATTTTATATTTTTGGATAATTTGAAAATCTTGTTTAATATAAAATAAAAGGAGAGAATAAAAAAAAGATTAAAGATCTGCATTAGCCCTTTTGTTTTAGTAATTGTATTAAACATTACGTAGCTATTTAATGTTTCATAAAAAGCTTTACGGAATCAAATAATATAATATTCAAAATGCTAAAAGTTATCTTAAAAAAAAAAAAAAAAAAAAATAGTAATGTATTAAAACAATTACGTAGCTATTTAATGTTTTCATAAAAAGCTTTACGGCAATCAAAATAATATCAATATTTCAAAATTGCCTAAAAGTTATCTTAAAAAAAAAAAAAAAAAAAAAGAAGGCTAAAAAGCTAATATTTAAAACACTTAAAAACTATTTTTCCAAAAAAGCTATTAACAGAAATAGCTTAATCGAATCTATCGGCGGGCTGAGATGTCTTTTACTCTGTTTGTGAACACAAGTTAAAAAAAAAAAAAAAAAAAAGCTAAAAGCTAATATTTAAAACACTAAAAACTATTTCAAAAGCTATTACAGAAATAGTTAATCGAATCTATCGGCGGGGTGAACACAGTCAATTCGGTGTAGTTGGAAAAGTTTTTCAAATTAAACTAGAAATTACGTTCTGAAAATTTTTCAATTCAAATGAGATTATTTTATTACTGCAACCAAACAGGATCGGTATAAATTGCAGCTTGAAAATAGTTGTGCATCAATAAATAGCCATTGTTGTTCACTGAATTCGTAGAACACAAAATTATACAGAGCATATAATTATTACTACACCAGACAACCTTACAAACAGAATCTCATCGATCAAAGATCATTTAGACACAGCCTACAAAAAATGCCAATTGATAGTTTATATTTTACTTCCAAGAAAGAGTATGCATACATGGAATTTTGAGAGAATCGAATATAGGAACTACAAATTTTTCTCTCATTTTTAGCTTAAAAAATTGCATGGTTTAAACAAGGACATCTTCCTCATCTAAAAAACTCAAGTTCAAAGTCTGTAACTTGAAACCTGCACCTTGTATAAGCTCTACCAAACCAGAAGCCACTCCAGTAGCTTGCACAGTAGTTTGTTTTGTTAACTGAAAAATTGGAAAAACAAAAAAAAAAAAAAAAAAAAAAAAAAAAAAAAAAAAATTACGACAAACAAACGACCTAAAACAAAAAAAAAAAAAAAAAAAAAAAAAAAAAAAAAGAAAAAGAAAAGGAAAAAAGGTGATTATATGCAGCTGATTTATTGTTCATAAAGTACTCCATCCCTTCCATTTAAACTGTCAACTTTTAGATTTTTACACAGACAAAAAAATTGACTAGTTTATCTTGATTCTACAAAATTTACACTTCAAATTACCTCAAAACCTTTTTACTAATTATCTAACACTATAATTTATAATTATAGTGGGATTCAATAAATAAGGGTAAAAAAAGTAAAAGTACAATAAATTTTTTCTTGAAATTTTAAAAAATAACAATTAAGTGGAACAAAGCAAACCGTAAAAACTGACAGTTTGAGTGGAATAAAGGGAGTACTAATTTATACATTTACAACGGTTCTAGTAGAATATTCGCAATAAGAAAATCTTGATTATTGACTTTAGAGATAAAATAAAACAAACTACCAAGACCAAAAACTATTCTTACCCATTAAAAAATTGTGTGTTTCATAAATTTGAAAAATATGTATCACATATAACTTCAACCAAAACTTAAGATTATAAATTTGCCATTCCGTAGAATAATTAGTCAATATCTAAATCTCAACCAAACAAGTCTTAAATGGCTGATTTAATAAATTACATGTAAGCAAGGCAAATCAAAAATAAAATCAATTACTCATGCAAACATTTGACATATATTAAATTCCCTGAAAGTTCCAAACTGACCTAAATATATAAATATTATGCTAAACTGAACTGCAGCTAAAGTGTTACCATAAGATATGAGAGGGAAGAAACAGTTTGTACCCACCTGCACACTTGCAAGACCCTCTTCAATTTGAACCTTCAAATCCGTAATACCATCGGTCGTCTATATAAGAAATAACACATCACTCAACAATTAAAAGAGGCCAATTAATCAGTAAGCATGTAAGCAGCACAAAAGTGTTCTCTCAACATTACAGTAATCACATCTCAAGTAGACTATAAATTGATGACCAAATCATCACCAAAGGGCAGATATGAGATCTAGAACCAACCTAAAAATTACATAGATTCCATCACCTAAACAGAAAATTCAAGCTTCAAACAACACATTGATGTTATCATTCAAATTAACTTATAGGTCATGTCCTTCGGAAGTCAGTAATTATTAGAAATGCCAGCCTGAAATTGCTGCATGTAATGTCCAAAACCTATTGATTGTTATGAAAAATTCAGGCAAGGGGAATACATTTACCAATGTTTCATCATTTGTCCAGCATCCTTAATTTTCTAGTTTCAGTTTGCAGGTATATAGTGAATGCAAAACCAATACCACCTCCATCAATTTAGGATTCTTTTCCAACAATTGGAAAATAGGTATTCTGTCTCATTACACATGCTGAACGTTTTAGATTAATTACTTAAGCTTTAGAAACATAACTTGAGTTTACCAAATTACGTTTTGATGTTTATCATAGGTCTACCAGGTTCCAGGTAAAATCCAAGAGAGCAATTCTATCCTCATTCTGAAAACTTATTGCAAATCATAACATTATTTGGGAAGAAATTGAACTTTCGTTATCCTCATTATAGAGAGGATACTCCATAATAGGAAGAGATAAATCCACGTGAACACACATTGTAAAAATCTGCAACAAGCCCCTCACCAAATCCAAAACAAATTTTCTATCTTAATTCAAAACAAAAGAAACAAAGGGTGGGTGGAATTTTCGTACCTCCAAGGCCTTGGTGACTGTAGGAACAGCAGATTCATTCAATACTCCCTCAGCCTTCAAAATGCAAAAACAGTAACATGATCAGTACCAAGAACATTTCAATATTCCATATGAATTCAAAAACTAACAACTGCAATTGATTCAATTACTACCTTCCCTATAGCATTGTTGAATTGAGTTCAAGAAATCTTTAAAAGAACTTGATAATTATAAATAATAGCAAAAATTTCAAGAGAACTTCAAAAAAACACAACAGTACCTGAAAGAACATGGTAAGAGTGTCCGAAGGAGAGACAGGGACAGAAACTGTTTGTTGTTCAGCTCCTTCTTGTACTTGAGCTCCTTCTTCTTGTTGTTGTTCTACTTCTGGGATTTGGGTTTCCTCTTCAGCTGACCTTAATTTTCCAATTCGATAGAGAAACGAATTGTTTTTCTTTAATTTCAGGCGGTTGAGAGAATTGGGAAACCCATGGAATTGGAAATGGAGGTTTTTTATGGGAAGGGAAAGGGAATGAGATGCAATTCTAAGAGAATTGGGAGTGGAAAGTGAGTGTGGAGTCGAGAAGGCGGAGACTGCGAAAGCCATTTGCGTGTTGGATTATTGGGCGAGAGACTGCCTGAGAGGTTTTAGTACTGTTTGCTGGTTCCCTCCCTATCCATACCACAGAAAGAGTTTTGTTTGTCTGTGACTACTTAGACGGTTATAACCTCAATGTTTTTTTTTTTTGACGTTCGGTAATTATACGTCCCTGAGTTATCATCAAAATTATTATTACGTCCCTGCTGTTTAGTAAAATTATTAATTATGTAGTTAGTTAAACTACATATTTCTTTCGTGCAAAAAGGGTTGAATAGTAAATATCTATAATTATAAATATTTAAATATTATTTAATACTGTTACATTTAATACTGTT